CCACCCACCCACCACTAGTGAGATGTTCCCCTGCACATTTTGGATGATAACTTGCTGGCCTCCATTGGATTCTCCAGTCAGAGGAAGGGTTTCATTTGAAGTACAGTAAAAGAGCTGCAACGTGAGAGAGGAGCTGGTGAAAACTTGAGTCAAAAACATTTAAATGGGGCTTCCAAGCTGCATTGTAGATCTCCGTGGGCAAATATTGCCCATTGGTTTCTGCTGACTGCAGAGACGAGCAAACTGATGAATTTATAAAATAACAATAAAATAATAATAATAATAATATACCGAAGCAAATCAAACATATATAACAGCGGGTGCGTAATTTCCATAGGTTAAGTTGCTATGTAACTCTTCTCTGTATACTCAGTCCACAATGGCCAGGGGAAAAAAACAACCCTAGTTACTAGAATACCATTTCTAATGCTGAAAAGTGGAAACAAGTATGAGATTGAAACTGTTTCCTGCTTTTGGCTTGAACCACTTTGAACACCTTCAACTGCCCTGTCATTAATATCTGGAACTGGATTAATGCTCCACCATGTGGCAAATGCAAGAACATCAACTGAGGAAAAAAAAAAGATCTCAATGTCTCATCTATATTTCCTCTGATTAATTTGTATGAAATTCACATAATTTTCTTCCAGTTATTGGCTGCAGTATCCAAGGGCTTCCCCACCCACTGCCCCCATTTCCAGCTCAGAGAACAAAACACAGCGACTCTCACAGATATACAGGAACAAGTTCACACACACCAATACAAAAGGTAATATTAATGCTTAAATGAAAAGGGTCCTCTCCAAATAATTCATTAAAATATTAAAAAATCATTTTTGAAAAAATTCTATCATACCAAAAGATCTAATAAAGTAGTAAGGCACTCAAATCAGTATATACTGTAGTCTCTTGCATTATTATACTGAAAGGCATATGGCACAGACTCCAGTCTGCCATAACTCTCCCACATCTGAAGGGCACTCTTACAAACCACTCCAAAAAAACTTGCTCTGCTGGCTTTAGTTTGTGTGCTGGGATAGGTCCAATTTCATAGCAAGTCATTCAACTCCCAAAAGCTGAGGTGCACTGTCTGCAGAGGCAAGAATGTGATTCATGGGAGACTTTTTATTGTGCATCTCCAGCAAGTCCTGAATGAAACCCGAAGGTCTCTCGTGATCAGAGTTCCCCCGTGATTCCTGATCTTTCGGGATCTGTTTCTGTGCATTCTTGCTGGACTCTGCAAGGCAAGTGCTGGTTATTCGTCCACTGGTTCTCTCCTCTTTGCAAAGAGACTCCTTTGCTGCATTGGCCTGACTTTCTTTTCGGCTTCTAGTGACAGATGAAGGGTTACCAAGGCCTGCAACGGAGTCGCACTCATTTTCTGAGATGGGGTTAGTGCCACTATGGCTAGACTCATTCTCACTGTCTTCTTCACACCGAGACTGGCTTTCTTCTTTGTCACTCTCCTTGCCATGGTTCCTGGCATTCTTGATCTTCTGGTGTATGCGCTGGTGACGAACCAGGCTGTGTTTCAGAGTGAAGGTCCGTTCACAGGTCTGACACTTGTACGGTCTCTCCCCTAGGACAGAATTAAGACCGAAATTGAATTGCAAGTTGATACATTCATTTCCTTTTCTCTTTTTCAGGCGTGCAACTGTTCTGAATAGCAGAAATTCAGGAGCCACATCAGCCATAGTTGCCTTACTGACACAGCTCTGATTTTGGTTTGTTTTATCATGTGCCAGTAAATACAGATATTGCTGGGGCAGAGATGAGAAAATACAGATAAAGGTTAAGGATCTGTAGATGTCTGGTGTCATTTTGTATTATGAAAAAGACGGCATGGCAAAGCAGTGTAATATGTATATGCCAAAGTGCACAGGGTAATTAACCAAGAAATAGTGCAGAAATAATATTGCAAATTCCATCTCCCAGCAAGTCTCTGGTAGGCTAGAATGATTGTGAGTGGATAATTTTACTTCGTGGGTCTCAATTACATGCCTTTTTGCATGTGCTGCTAGGAGAAAGTCTGCAAGCACCCCTCCATATTCAAATTGGTCCTGACACCGTCAGATTTTTAGCGCTCTCATACATTTCTTGTGTTTAGTTTAATCCAAAGTTAAATGCAGGATTCTTTTCCACATGTCAGGCTGCCTACTACTCCTCTATGACTGCTACTTCACTGGTAAGTATTTAGGCATCCCAAAAACTGCTGGAGACTGTAAAGTCATCTGCTTCACAGTGATTTGCTTATATCAGTAAACCTTTTTGCCCCACGAACCGGATGAGGGGTGTGGGGCTGGTCCGCAAGTCGGACCAGACCCTGTATGCAGGGATCAGGCCGTGGGGGCCCTATGCCACGTCTGCCTGGTTCTACACATGGGGATTGGGCTCCAGGGGCCCTTCACCACTCCTGAGAGCCAGGATCCAGCCCAGTAGTACCTTGTGCGCCCCAACTAGTACACAGGGCCACAGTCCATGGTGCCCCCTGCAGGCTAGATAACAAGGCAGTGGGTAGCTGGATCTGACCTGCGGGCCAGGGGTTGTGTACCCCAAGTTGATACCATCATTTGGGTAGATGTACTAGTAATATGTTACTATTCACAGAGCAGGGTAAATCCACGGTGTCCATACCCTTTCGTTCACAGCTTTTCTGTAAGTGGAGTGAGGAAGATGTGCCCTGTTACCACGGGCAGACCAAAATGACAAAGCAAAACAGGAATCGAGAAAACATTTCTCTCCCAGTCATGATGGAAGAGTGAATTTTCCACACACACATTACTACAGGAAATAAAGAGGAAACCTGCTTGAAGTGGACTCTGTGACAGAACTTGATCTTTTGTGAGGCACAAAGAGGGTGTCATGTCACTGCTTCAATGTGCAAATAGCAGGCCTAAGCTTCTGGGTTTTAATCAGACCACAAATAACTCCACTATTAGACAGCTACCGTGACAGCTGACAAAATATTTTCCATGAAAGATTTAAGATGTTTTTTCTTTGTCCATTTTTGCAAAAACTGTGTGTGTGCGCGTTTTAATCAGCTTACAGAGGAGATGTGATTTAGAGGCAGAACTGCAAGTTTTCTGGGGGAGTGGAGAATGTCTTCAACTTTTTCCAACCAGGCCTAGTTTCAGTTCTCATATCTCCCTAGTCTCATGGACTAGGAAGTGTTGGCCAACCTTTTTGGCAGGCATGCCACAAGGTAAGCCCCACACCCTCCTTGGGTACCACTCCAATCCCCTTCCTCCTGATCTGCTGCTTGACTTTCTGCTCCCTGCCCAAAATGTTCCTGTGTTCTCTGCTCCCCCTTGATCCATCACATGCCACACACAGACTACATTTGTGCCACATGTACCATGGGTTGGCCACTCCTGGATTAAACTCAGGAACAAGCTGCAGGCACTGTATGCAGCATATGAGCAAGTGGCTTGCTTGGTTCCAAGAATATCTCCCTATATACAAAATATTTAAATGCTTTCCCAAGTACAAAATAATTCATAAAAAGGTTAATACAATGTAAAGATACTTAAACCTTAGTACTGACCTACTGCCTTGAAGAACCTGAAATACTATACTGCTTTCAGCATTATTTAGTCTTGCATGTCTGTTTGCAACTATTAAATACAAATGGCTTAAAAATGCAATTTCACCAAGATATCATCTTGTGCAAATACACACATGACAAAGCAACTGCTTGGAGCTGAATTCTCACTTACACTAAAGCTCCATTTGTTCTGGGAGTATAAAAAAAAAGAAAAGGAAAGAAAAAAAACCTTGAAATGATTTTAAATTTCATTTGATGTATACAAACTTTAAGATCTTATTAACTGGCAGAATGGTGAAAAGGGGCCCTACTGTTACTGAGATTGGGCCCTTTTCCAAGAATATAATTCTGTATCTACATTTTGGTCACTGCTCACCCTGCATCTGTGAATCCATGATCAGGGGAATCAAGATATCAAATCACAGCAAAATCCCACCAAAATCATAATCTGGACTTTTCTTCTTTAAAGAATGCAAGGATAGGTACTAGCCTTATGTTTAAACTGCTCAAAGCAATGGCTTGCACCAGACTTATAAACAATACGGTAATAAACTTGGGTGCATTCTGCACTGGGAGACAGACAGCTGGAGATGAAAACACAGATCCGCAAATGACCCTCCATTTGTACAGGTTTTCATTGCTCTACCCTGCACCTCAGTCCCCAAACATTCTTGCTACTCTGACCGTAATCTTTTAAAATTAAGGGTATCTTTGCAAAAAGAAAAAAAATGAAACCAAACAACAACAAGACCTCTGAAAAAAAAGAAATCATCTCATACAGCACGATCATAGCAATCAAAAGGAAAAATGTGCAATACTCAAGAAGAGCCCTCATTTGAGAGAGAAGATGGAGGTGATTAAAAACAGTTTTAGAGAAGCAAGTGGTAGCACAACTATTGACATTTAATGCAGCTGAAGAAAGCATAAGGCATTAGCACAGATTTCTATTTAAAACTGCTATAGGAAAATTAAAACTGGATCAAGAAATGAATGCCTCAAGTTAAATCAAGAAGGGGGAGGGGAAAGGAAGAAACACAAGATCCGGTTCACAAGACTGGCAAAACTCAAGGAACAATGACAATATTAAAACCATATGGCACAAGATATGTGAAAGAGCTCATCCCCCAAGGGCACAACGGGGTCTCTCGTTTGGCTCAGAGTATGTTATTTTAGATTTCAGAAGCCCCCCAAATCCTTTCCTGACTATAGTCATATCATATTTTGTGTTGACTTTGTGATGTACAAAAAATAAGGACAAGAAAGAAATCAAATTTGCATTTACTAGCAGTTAAATATTTTCAGAATAGAAAACTAAGTTTACTTCCATATGTATGCTACAGGAGGTAGCCTAGATTTCAAAGGTGCTGCATTCAGACTGACTTCAGGCAGATTTGTGGCACCCTCAGCATTTTGTAAAAAAAATAAAATAAAAAAAAATAAATAAAAAAAAAATCAAGCTATTGGAAATTTGCTGGTATCTTAAACCCTTCAATCAGAAATTTGTTTAGTGGTTCTGGAGGCTAATATGGTCTTTATTCTTTCAGGCAGGCTACTAATTAGACCCATACACTTTTAAAAGCGTCTTAAACATGGATACTCCAGTGAAGCTTCATCTTACCATAAATATCCAAGCTTAAATCACAAAATATGTAACTTAAAGAAAAGCAATCCCAAAACAAGCATAGAGGAAGTATCCCTCTCCCTGATGTCTCTTCAGGTCCCTAATAAATGCATCACCTTTGGATTCAATGGTTTTGAAGAAAATGAATAAGCAACGCATCCGTGAGCTTGTGTCTTCAGCCAAATAAAAGTGTCATTTAATAACCCCTTCCAAAGCAAAGTTGAATGATATTTAACAGGGCTGTGCGAAGCTTTGATCACTGATTTGATCTGGTGGAGATCTGGCCTGATTCAGTGGCTGAATCTCTGAATTCAAATCAAATAGGAACCCTCCAAATTGATTCAGAGAGATTTGGAAAGGTTCAGCGATTTGGACAGACACAGCTTTAAATGTTTTTTCTACATACCTCTAGGTAGCAGGAGCTCGTGAATGCTGCGATGCTGGGCCAGATGGAGAGTCCCACAGGAGTGTGGGGGGCTCCCCAGCGTGCTCGGCAGCAGACCTGGAACCAGACCAGAAGTATTTCTGGTCCACTTCCGGGTCTGCTGAAGAGTGCGCTGCCCCCCCCCGCACCCCTCTGGCTCGGCCACTGGTGCTTCCTGGGTCTGGGGGGGCACCCAGGGTCCCGCCACAGCCACATCACCAAGCTGTGGGGGGGCAGGGAAGAGTACTTCCAGTCCACTTCTGAGTTCGCCACTGAGCATGTGGAAGGCCCCCCCACGCTCCTGTGGGACGCTCTGCCAGCCCACCCGCCCCAGCATCGCAGCGTTCACAAGCCCCACCTGGTACCTCCAGGTATGTAGAAAAAACATTTAAAGCTGTGTCTATGGCCGAATCACCAATTCTCCGAATCAGCATCGTATCTTCAGATTTCGATTCAGCCAAATAGAATCAGACAAGAGATCCAACTCAAAGAATCAAATCGCTGTCCCCGATTTGGGCCGAATCCAAATCCAAATCAAATAGGGTCCACTTCGCACACCCCCAAATATTTAATTGTATAAACAGGACCCCATGCACTCCATGACAACTAACTCCTGAACTAAATCATTACAGGTGCACTTGTATTAATTGTGCTCCACCTGCTCTGCCCAGAGACTCCTCTTTCCAATCCCCACGCAGAAGCAGTGAATTCCATGGACAGTGTGATAGCACTCCAGTGTGCATCAAAATATGGGAACAGTGCAGAACCACAAAGACAAGAGAAATAACTGGACATAAAAGAAAGCCTGTTCCGTAGTCTCCCTGCCCTTCCCACACTTGCCAGTTCTGCAACATATAATTGGAAAGAACGCATAAAAATGAAGGCAAATAGTGTCCAATTTTCTCTAAAAATATACAAAATTATAAAATAAACTATGTATTTCACTATTCTGTTGAGTTCTCCATGGAGGCGAGTGATTTTGACTGTTTACCATGCCATTCCCCTTCCCCTATTTATTTTATGCAGCAACTTCCACTGGTTTTGTTCCGTCTCATTGTTCTCCTCTTACCTGTATGAGACCGCATGTGTCGTGTCAAGTCTTGCAAAGACCAAAACCGCTTGTTGCACACGGTACAGACTTTCTTCCGTTTGTCTGCTTTTATGGTACTCTTAGCCCCATCGGTCTTTGGTTTTTTGTCATCATCACTCTTCTCAGCGGACTTTCTCCCTGCGCTCTCTCCCTCAGAGACGCTTTCACTCTCTTCATTTTCCTTTGCTGGTGCCTCACAGTCCACTGGAGATTCTACCACCTTTAAGTCCATCGGGGGCTCTTCCTGGTCAAGAGCAGAGTCCAGTCCTGGGGGAACTCCGGCTTCATCTTGAACACTTCTGCTTTCATCCTCACTGCTCTTTTCACCCTTTCGATCCTCATGAGTATGAGCCTTTTTGTGCCGGCCAAGAGTGCCAGCGAACTTGAAGGATTTTCCACAAACATCACAGGCATGTTTCTTTTCAGTCTGAGAGCTGCTGCCTGCACTCTGGTCACTCTCTGCCAGTTTAAAGTCCATCAGCTTGCTGGCAAAATTGAGATCGAGGCTTTTGTTACTTACAGAGTCTTCCTCCGGCCCCTCTTCATACTCATCTGATTTTTCCTGTGCACCCTCTTCTCCTGGGGATGAGTCAGACTTTTGCTCCTCTTTGGGACTGCATTCATTTTCTGGTAGCTCCGTTTCTTCCTCTGGTTGATCTCTCTCACAGGAGGTCAGGTCCAGCACCTCATTTGCTGCAGCTAAAGTCTCCAGGTCCAACTGGTTGTCTGTAAGCAGAGAGGGGGAAATTTTCAGTTGGATACCTTTCACATACCCAGAACCATCCACACACCATCTCAAGGCTACATATTGATTGATCAGCACCACTCTTAATACTTCCACATGTGCATTTACTTCTTTACAGCCAAAGCCAGTAATTATGTAACTGAGAAGAGAGAACAGAGTCTAAGCGGACTCAGGTGGTGAAGTGCAATTCTATCACACCCTGCTTAAGTCTGTGAAAATCCCTACTGCATATACTCTTGTAACACACTTTCATCTTAGCTTTCAGACTGAGTCATAAAAAGGAGGAAAAAAACAACAGTGAAATGGAGGACCCATCCAGATTTCATTTGAACTGTTTTTCAGACATTTTAGCAGGCTGGAATAGCTACTAGGTCCACGTTCAGACAAGCGCGGACATTGGTTCCCTGGGGACAAGTAGCAACACCACACCTTGCGCTACTGCTGCTTGTCCCCAGGGAATTCCAGTGCCACTCACACTCTGGCACATGGCAGGTTACCCTGGGTGGGGCAGGGGAAGCTGGGACCAGCATCAACTGTGCTGGCCCCAGCAGCCTCAACTGGGGTTTGGGGGCTGGAGAAGCTGCAGCCACGGCAGTGCTCCTGCAGCTGGGGGTCTGGCTGGTAGCCAGAGCGTGGCTCCAGTAGGCCAGGCTCTGGTTTTGGGCGGTGTGCACTGCCACCATGTGAACTGCCCAACTTTTTTTCCATGTGGGATTTTTTTGACCCCGGGACCTTCTAAGGTTAAAAAAAAAAAACTCGCTGTGCTGCAAAGTAGCAATGCGGGGAACATCTGAATGTGTGGTGTGTGGCATTGCAGACAAGTCCACAGTGCCACATACTGTACGGTCATGCTCATCTGGACATGGCCCAGAAGTCTACTAAATTCTTGGCCCTCGGTTTTACTGAATCACAATATAACCACTTTCAGTGCAGAACACATTACAATGAGGTACCAAAGAATAGGAAGTTCAAAACTGCTGTAAAGGCAACAGTACCAAACAAATATGAAACAGAAAAATGTTACATATATGATTCTAAGCATAGACTATGAAATCAGTTTCCATCTACTGAAGCCAATGGAGATAAAAATGATAAAAATGCAATTAATTGTTAAAGGTTATTAACAAGCTAACAAAAAAACATTCCAAGTTCCAACCATTCCAAATAAAAAGACTTGGTCATATAAATGTACACAGGTGACAAGTCCGTGACAGTGCAGGATGAAGTGCCCCTTGATGAACAAGTAATTTATTACAGCATCACTTGTCAAAAAGCTAAATGCTGAAACAGACCATATATATCACTTACTGATCTTCAGCCTCTGCAAAGACTAGACAAAACAGGATGAACTGTCAGGCTCAACTACAGTGAGCCATTATCAGCTTGTGTCACATTCTTGACATTGCTTATAACATGTTTTGTAATAAATGCCTCCATTTCTTTATGGGAAAACAGAGATATAGAGATACAGCTTCTAAAATCCAATAAAGATGGTGTATATATACACAATGGTAAATAAACCAGATGATTTAGATGCCAAAGTGGAGACAGATGCATGGAATGAAACTGCACCTACCATGCCTCTTTTTAGTTAGGATTTCAGGACTCAAGGTAGGCAAAGTACATAATTGGATCTGCAGCCATCCTCATTTCAGTCCTTTTTTTTTTTT